ACCAATGAATTTAGAAAAAAAAAAATCTTAATAATCTTCACTCACATTTTATTTTTTTTTAATTGCCTTCTCATCACTTCTCTCTCTACCAAATAAAATAAAAAATAATTCTTAATAATTATAAACGGTTTTTTTTAATTGCCTTCTTTCATTTCCTTCCCTACCAATGAAGTAAAAAATATTTTTTAACAATTCCACTCGTTATTTTGTCCTTTTAATTCCCTCTCATTTTTCTTTCCCTACCAATGAAGTTAGAAAAAAAATATAATAATTCTTAATAATTTTCACTCGCATTTTTTTTAATTGCCCTCTCATCACTTCTCTCTCTACCGATGAAGTAAAATATAATTTAATAATTTAGAACGTCTTTTTAATTGCCTTCTCATCATTTCCTTCCCTACCAACGAAGTAAAACATATTTTTTAACAATTTCCACTCGTATTTTGTCTTTTAATTCCCTCTCATTATTTCTTTCCCTACCTGAATAAAAAAAATAATTCTTAATAAACTTTTTTTTAATGCTCTCTCTACGATGAGTAAAATAATTCTTATAATATAAAGTCTTTTTAATGCCCTTTCTCATTTCTCCTACCAATGAGAAAAAATAATAATTCTTTATAATCTCGCACTTTTTTTTAATGCCCTCTCATAGATGTCTCTCTACCAATAAATAAAAAAATAATTCTTAATAAATATACGTCTTTAATTGCTCTCATCATTTCCTTCCCAACCAATTTGAGAAAAAAAAACAATCCTTAATTTCCACTCGCCTTTTATTATATTCATAATTCTTGAATTTGCCCTCTCATCATTTCCTTCCCAACCAATTGAGAAAAAAAACAATCCTTATTTCCACTCGTTTTTTATCATTATTTTCTTAATTGCCCTCTCATCACTTCTCTCTCTACTTTATTACAATTTTTTTAATTGCCTTCTCATCACTTCTCTCTCTACAATAAATAAGGAAAATGACGTTCAGCTCGGAAATTCAATCTTTAATCATGGCTCTACGTTAACCTGCACGCGAGTCCAGCAATATTTAAAAGGTATAGAGACGTGTTTGCCTGCGGGGCGCTGTTAATCTAGTGATGATGGAGGGAGGAAGAGGGAGGAGGGAGGGAGGAGGAGAAGGAGGAAGGAGGGAGGAGAGGAGAAGAGGGAGAAGGAGGAGGGAGGAGGGAGGGAGCGGAGGGAGGGAGGGAGGGAGGGAGGGAGGAGAGAGAGAGAGAGAAGAGAGGAAGGAGGGGAGGAGGGAGGAAAAAAGAGAGAAGAGAGAAGAGAGAGAGAGAGAGAGGGAGAGAGAGAGAGAGAGAGAGGAGAGAAAGAAGAAGAGAGAGAGAAGGGAGGAGGGAGAGGGAGAAGAAAGAGAGAAGAAGAAAGAGAGAGAAGAGAGAAACTGTGTGCTGTAATCAACCTGATGTTGACAGAGAAACGCAGATGGAGAGGATGCCTGTGGAAACGCGGAGGGGTGGGTGTGGGGGGGGGTAAGGAGGAGGGTGAGTGAAAGTGATTATATGAGGGCTATGGGACAGGCAGGCAGGGAGGGAGGGAGAGGGGAGGGAGGGAGGAGAGGAAAAGTGGAAGACAGGGAAAGGGGAGGAGGGTGAATGAATGAGTGAGTGAGTGAGTGATGGAGGTAGGAAGGAAGGAAAGAGGGAGGAAAGTGAGTTAGTGAGTAATGAGTGAGTGAGTGAATATAAATGAATGAATGGGTGAGGGGGAGGGCGAGAGGAGGGGAGGGGGGAGGGAGGGAGGGAGGGAGGGAGGAGGAGAGGGAGGGAGGAGGGAGGAGGGAGGGAGAGGAGAGGAGAGAGAGAGAGAGAGAGAGAGAGAGAGAGAGAGAGAGAGAGAAGAGAGAGAGAGAGAGAGAAGAGAGAGAGAGAGAGAAGAGAGAGAGAAAGAGAAAGAGAGAGAGAGAGAGAGAAGAGAGAGAAGAGAAAGAGAAAAGAGAAAGAAAGAGAAAGAAAGAGAAGAAAGAGAAAGAAAGAGAAGAGAAAGAGTAGAGCAAAAGCGAAAGCAAGACATCAACACCGATACACCGACCCTGAGAAACCGAGACCAAGAAATATGAAAGAATAAATAAGACTCAAAGAAAAAAAATGACAAGAAATACAGAGTGACAACGACAAAGAAAAAGACAAATGAAGAGTGACAGGAAAGACAGAACGCCACGCACAGAAAAAAAAAGATGGCCACAGACAGATAGATTTACTTCCTCAATGGAGCACCTTCTTTAATATATTTTCTTCCCTCCTCTGCCTGTCTCACAAATCTTCTTGTCATCCCCTGTTGATCCCTTTCGCCCCTTCTCTCCCTTTCTTATTATTACTTCCTTATTATTATCCTCTTCCTCTATTTTTATTTATTTATTCTTTTTTTTTCTTTTTTTTTGGCTAATCATATATTGCATGTTATATTATACATCAAATACTATACTCGTATATTGTATGTTATATTGTATGCGTGTGAGTGTGTGATTTTGTGCATATATATAATATATGTTGTGTGTGTGTGTGTGTGTGTGTGTGTGTGTGTGTGTGTGTGTGTGTGTGTGTGTGTGTGTGTGTGTGTGTCGTGGTGTGTGTGTGTGTGTGTGTGTGTGTGTGTGTGTGTGTGTGTGTGTGTGTGTGTGTGTTGTGTGTGTGTGTGTGTGTGTGTGTGTGTGTGTGTGTGTGTGTGTGTGTGTGTGTGTGTGTGTGTGTGTGTGTGTGTGTGCGTGCGTGCGTGCGTGCGTATGTACATGCATGTAGGCATACATACATATGTGTGTGCCTGCGTGCGTGTGCGTGTGTGAATGAGTTTCCTGTATCTCCATTTTCAATCTATTCTAGTCTTTCCACTATTCACATCCTTTCGACTATTTTTTCTTTTCTTTTTTCCAACCTCCTTTTCTGTTTCGATTTCACGGTTCAAAAAAAGAAAGAAAAAAATATTTTCAAAAGTTTTTTTTTTCTCTCTCTTCGTTTGTTCATGCACTCTCTTTTAGTATTTGCATATTGTCTGTGTTTCCTGTTATACTTATTCTCGTTCTCAGAATCTTGCTTTTATCTTAACAATGTCGCTTTTTCTATCTTAGTGCCATTTTCTCCTATTCTCATCTTTATTCTGTGTTTTGCATGTATTTATTTGCGTAATACAGTCTAGTTATATTGTATATAAATCATATGCAGTTATATCCACGTGAATATATATCAAATACCGATTTTTTTAAGGAGGAGGGGAAAAGAAGGGGAAGGAAAGGAGGAGAAGAGGAGAGAAGGAGGAGGAAGAAGAGGGGAGAAGGAGAGAAGGGAGAGAAGAGGAGGAGGAGAAGAAGGAGGAGGAGGAGAAGACGGAGAAGGAGAAGGAGAGGAGGAGGAGGAAGAGGAGGAGAAGGAGTAAGGAAAAAGGAGGAGGAAGAGGAAGAAAAGAGGAGGCGGAGGCGGACGAGGAGGGGGAAGGGAAGGGGGAGGACAAAGAAGAAAACGAAGAAAAAATAAAAGACAAAACGAAGACGACGAAAAAAAAAAACTCAACAAACACAAAATCAAAAACAAATAATAATAATAATTAAAAAAAAAAAACATTGACCCACATCCCCCTAAAACAGTCTATGTCCAGCGTGATAAAACGTGCCACTAAAAGCCCTTTCAAAAGCATCGCGATCTAAACCTCCGCTTCTTAGGCAGATGGTGTAAACAGGTGGTGAGCCGAGGAAGGGAGAGATGGGGAGGGGAAAGAGTAAAGGAGAGGAAAGAGGGACGGAGTAAGGAGAGAGGGAGAAGGAGCTAGGAGGGGGGGGAGGGGAAGGGGAGGGGGGGGAGGGGAGGGGAGGGAGAGGGGAGGGGAAGGAGATGGAGGGAGAAGAGAAGGAGAGAGAGAGGAAAGGGAAAGTAAAGGAGGGAGAGGGAGAAGGAGAGAGAGAGAGAGGGGGGAGGAGAAGGAAGGGAGGGGGGGGAGGGAGGGGAAAGGGGGGGAGGGGGAAGGGAGAAGGAAGCAGGGAGAGGAGAGAAAGAGTAAAGGGAGGAAATATGCTAAAAACGCTATTGTCTTCTATTTTTCTTGTTTTTTAAGGGGTGGAGAGGAGGGAGAGAAGGGGAGAGAGAGAGAAGAGAGAGAGGAGAAGAGAGAGAGATAGTGAAGAGAGATAGAGAGAAGAGAAAGAAAGAAAGAGAAGAAAGCAATAAGAGAGAGAGAAAGAGAGAGAAAAAAAGAAAGAAAAAGAAAGAAAAGAGAGGAGAGGGCATGAGAAAGGGCGAGAAAGAGAGAGTGGGAAGGGGAGGAGAGAAAGATTGACAATGACATATTGCGTCAAATCGCTCGATGATGGAAGACTGTCAGTGCCTCGAGAAAAAAAAACATCTGAAGCAAGAATATACGAGAAAAATATTTAACTATAAGCAGCAGAAAGAAGAGAGAGAGGAGGAGGAGGAGGAGGAGGAGGAGGCAGGAGGAGAGGAGGAGAGGAGGGGGAGGGAGGAGGAGAGAGGGGGAGGGGG